TGGCTGACAGAAGCCTTGCCAAAAGACTAGTCCCTTTTCCCTATTCTCAGGAGGGCCAAATGAAGGCTTCATGCCAGCAAGGATGGGAAAAAACAGCCTCGGTGTCAGAATTTTGAGATCTCGGGCTACTCACGGACTCTTAGATTCTCAGTTTACTCATCTGAAAGATGGAGATGATGTGTGTCCAATCACTTACGGTTTGTTGAGAAGTTCAAACGAGATAATGAATGCAAGGAGTATGTGCAAGTGGTCCAGGGCTACACCAAGGTTATGGAATTACTATTATTATAGGAATTCACATTTATAATAGTCTGGGCTTAGAAGCAGAGACAAGGATAGCATTCTGGTGACAATTTACTAAGAGCTCTTTAAAATTCATTTCTCAACTTAAAATGTATAAAACAACAACAAAAATTTCATTTCTCTCTAATCCCACAGAGACTGAAGAAAGAAAGGGGAACCTGGAGGAGGTCAGGTTGGAGAAGATCAGGCCACCCATCTTCTCACCCGCAGCTTCAGCCTAGGGGCTGGACTATCAGGTTCTGAGCAGTATCCCTTTCTGCAGGGGAAGGGCATCAGACACTCATCTGAAAGGGGACGTAATAACCACTCCCAGGCCTTTGTAGATTCCCAATCACCTGGCCTGTTGCAGAGTATCTTTGTTAGGCAGAAAAGGAGCTGATAATAAAATTGGCCAACATTACCTGAGCACCAAGCATCAAGCTAAGCACCTTACATGCCATGTCTCACTGTACTCTCACAACAGCCTGAGGCCACAGTCCCCACATGAGCTAATGGTGACTGGTGAGGTCAAGACCCTTGTCCAAAATCACGGGGCTAGCAAAGAGGGCAGACATGGACTTGAAACCCAGGGCTATCTCTAAGCCAGTATTTTACACTGCCTCCTGGTTGTGGCAGAAAAGGAGCATTGGCAAGCTTCTCTGAGGTGAACTGTGAGCAAACCAGGCCTGCTCCTGCTGACTTCCACCCTCCCAACTAGCCCCAGTGTAGCAGCAAGCAAAATTCTTCCCAATCTGTATTTATGGAAAATTACAGGCTCCTAACATGGCTAATTTGCTAACATGCTGGGGGCTTGAGGGAGGGAGACAGGCACACTGAGGGCATTGTTCACCCAGGCCTTTACCAAATCAGTGGTTAGCAAGGAAATTATATATTCCTGGCCCCTAGCTGATCATCTTCAAAGATGGCCATTAACTCTGACTATGGGCTGTGCATGGCGTTGTCCTTCATAGCGGATAAACTTGCTGCCATTGGGCTAATTAAAACTTTCAGGATAATCTGCTGCTTATCTGATATTTATAGTGCTACAGTAGTTATTAGAGCTAACAGAGAACCAGTGTACGCTAGCAATTAGGAACCAGAGGTAACAACTGGGTAAAGCCACAGCTGGGCAATAGCAGAATAGCCAGGGAAATTCAGATTGACCCCCATGGTCTCTGATCCAACTTGACTTCTTCTAAATGAAAAATATGGTGTTACTCTTTAAAGGATCAAAGGGTCCAAATGATAGAGCAAGCCCAACTCTTTGGTAAATCCCAGTACAAGAGGAAGTGAAGGAACAAACAGGGTCTGCACAGCTTGACACAGGTTATTCACATGATTTCTGGGAACCCTGGGAAGCAAGAAGCAGAAGCAATTTACAGGATGGTAGAGAGATTCTGGGATTCAGCCCCTCATGACAGTATTAATTCTCTTGTTTTCTGTGATTTTGAGAAAAGGACTCAGTTCAGAGCTTAGGGGTAGGGTATCTACTTGGGAAGACCTCTCTTTATAATTGGCTGATGGGAAAGGCTTCCCAAATCCTGGGAAGGACCTATATCCTGCATGAGTGCCAGGATTGGTGCCACCACGCTCACCCTCAAAACTGATCATTTTCAAAGCATGTGAACCACCCAGGAAATCTAGGTTTCCTCAGCCACTATTTTGCAGGTGATGGGATAGAAGAAACATGAAATATATGTCATCCCCTAAGATCACCATCCTGAGAAGTTAAGGGATCAGTAGTTACCAAGGGAGAGCAAATAACAGGAAAGCAGACCCGACAGCTTCGTTAAGATGTCAACTCAATCTGCTCCCTCGCTGCCACATTCACTGAGGCCTGTAGGCCATACTCTCTAAGAAGCCTACCTGGTTGAGAAGCTGCATCTTGCCTGGCTCTGCCGCAAGCTCTCTGTTGGAACTCAGCTCAACTAGCCCCTGCCTGAGGGGGTTGCTGCTTGGCTGGAAACAGGCTTGCTGAGAGGCCTCCAGCCCAGCCGGAGCAAGGGCCACCTCCTGAGGATGCTCCAGTAGCTCTGGCCTCCAAGCCAGAAACCTTGGGTCCCTCTCCATGGCTCTGATGGCCTCGTGCTCACCCTCACTAGACATCCTGGAACACTCAGCTGCCATACAACAGACCATGTTGGCAAAGTCTTTGCATGAAATTTCCTGCATGTTCTCAGGCTGCTCCAGGCCCTCCAGCCGCCTGGAGATCTTGACCATTTGCAGGATGTGCTGGTAGAACCTCTGATCCTCAGAATAGTCTTCACTCTCTGACTGCTCATCAGCAGAGCTCTGCAAGTGGGATAACTGGGGCACTAGAAAGGGGCTGTAGTGTAGATCTCTGGGTCCAGGGCCTGACTGATCCATGCCCCGTTCAGATCCCCGAGAGCTCTGCATGTCCCATGGGAAGTTATTCACCTCACCCAGTATCTGAGAGCCAAGGTAAGAGGCCAGATTGCTGCTGCTGCTGCTCTCCAAGTCAGGCCCAGACCCACTAAGGTTCCTGTCTTTTTTGGGGGGATCTGGAGACCCTGATGGTTGTCTCTCCTCACTGGTGGGAGATGCCGCAGGGGCACTTCCTAACGGGGCATTCTGGGATGGTTCTGATGCCAGGGTATCAGGTGGTACTAGGAAGGGTCCCTGAGGTAGATCATCAGCTGAGGCCTCTAGAACTTCAGGGTCATTGCCCTCTGCTTCTTTGCAGCTCCCGGGGGTACCCTTGTTGACAAGCTTGGAGACCTGTCCCATCCACAATCCTGGGGGCTCTCTCCTCCTCCTTCCCCAGCCCGTGCTCCCACCTTCCCCAGAAACACCTTGCCAGCCCAGGTCTTCAGCTTGGCTACTATCTAACGAGAACAGCTTGCTCTTCCTGGCAGGCGGTATATGGTTAGAAGAACAAGGGGAAAGGGAAGGGTCCTCCTCAGGGGATGATGAGGGAATGGGGCTCTGGCCCTTGTCCCCGCCAGGGCCAGTGGAGCTCAGTTTGGCCACGTTGTGGCTGTGCTGCTCCCCTTTCAACTGTGGGCCCTTGATGGTTTCAGAAAGCTTTGAGTGAACAGAGGCCTGGCTCCTGCTTTCTAGCACATCCTGCTCATTTTGGAGGGGCCTGCTGTTCTCAGGGCCCAGAATGCCAGATTTCTGCTGTCTGGTCCTCATTTCCAGCTCTTCTATTTCAGGGTCTGAAAACCCCAGGTAGATTTTCTCTGTCGGCTTCTGGGGGTTCTCTGGACCCTGCTGATCTCCTAATTCTGTCCTGCCTTGGGCTGGGGCCCTGCCTAAAATTTTCTCCACATCGGCAATGATCTGGTGGGTTCGGGAAGATTGGCCTTTGGAGAGTGGCTGTAGCTTGTTGGGCAGGGTTCCTGTGAGAGGCCAGGGGGTGTCACCCAGCATGCATGGGCTCTTCCCTTTCTTAAAGGAGCCCTCACTTCTAGCCTGCATCTCTTGGTCTAGGTCCACATCAGCAAGCCCAGGTGCTGAGAGAGGGGATGGGCCGCGGAGAAAGGAGGAAGAAGGCAGAAGTCCCTGATCAGGTTGCGTTTCCTAGATGGGTATATAAACATGCAGAGAAAACTAAGACAAAACACTTCTGAGTTACACTTGCTCCCTCAACCCTTGACAAGCCCTTAGCCCAAACCCACCCTCCATCTGAAGTAAAACAAAAACCAAAGAGGGAAGAAAAGCTAAAAGCTCCCTTGAGCTTTTGTTGTTTTCTGGCCCCAGTTTCCTTATCTATAAAGAAGAGGCCAGACTAGATCGTGGCTTACAAACCTTGCTCCATGGAACCTGCAGGTTGGTTCCACATGGTACCTTGGGGGTTGCTACATTGTGCACACGCTGGAGGAGGGACATCACCAAGGCCTACACCCCCAGGTTCAATCACAACAGCTCCACTTTATATATGCTGGATCTCTATGGAGGACCTGATTTGAAGACAGGGCTTCACTACTAAAGAAAATCTGAAAGTCAGCGACCAAGTTATCCCTAAGGTATCACCAAACTCTCAGTTCTATGATTGATTAATTTTATAAAATCCACTAACCTTACCAGAATTATTTAAGAAGGGAGAGAAGAGGGGAAACCTAACTGTGAGCTGAGCCTTAGAAACACAGTCTGTCTTCTACAGGTACAAGTTGGTACTGCTCAGGAGACATCCACACAGCCAGAGAACCTTGAGGCTAGAAGAAACTCTAAAGATCAACCATACTCTGTAAGAATTCACCGTGAGAGCCCAAACTACCTGAGTCCAGGTCACCCACCTGGCTGCACCCTGGGCAAACTCAGGTTTGAGACACCTGTCCTGAGACCTAAGATCCAGACTACAGCCCAAGATTATCCAATTGTCCCCAGCTCCTGAAACCACAGAAGGAATCCTTTTTAGGGAGCTCCAGGAACTCAGTCACACACCCAGAACGCAGGCTATTACCCAAATCTCCAACCCAGAACCCTCACTTCATTCCCTCTCCCGCCTTTAGTCATGCCACAGCCTGCCAGATGCTGATTATCACTTACAATAACCCTGGGTTAGTGAAAATTCTGTTGTCCATCTTTTGCCTTTCAAATATATGACATTAGAAACTTCAGCCTATTTGGAAAGTATCGGTCTTCTTTTCTCTATCTTGAGGAACGGGCTTGTTATCTTACTTCTCAGAATCATGAGTAGTAGTATGTGGAGGAAGGGAAAGGAGAGAGGAGTCTCTATAAAGCTTGGAAATGATAAAAAGAATGAATTCATCAACAACCATCCAATGCCAGAATGGACACCTTGGAAAGGATAAAAGGAAGCTGAAGGAATCTTCACTGAGAAGCAAGCACTAGGTACTAGTGGGAAATAAAGACTATAAACAAAAGAGCAAATCAATTGGACCACTGAGAGGGTTGAAAAGATATCCCCAGTGCTCTCCACCTGGCTGACCCTCACTCTCCTCAATGTGCCCCGCCTGCCTCGCAGCTGGGTGAGGGGAAGAAGGCAGGTTTCCCTGCACTGCCACAATGTGCTGGGAGAGCCCAGGCCTCACTTCAGTATGGCTCCAACTCTTAGCTCCTCTGCCTATAAAATGAGGGCAATAACTCTGCCTCCTAAGTACAGACATACTGAACAGACAAATAAAACAAAAATGGAAAAGAACACCTTCGACTCTGAGCAAGAAAGCTACTTGAGACCAAGGTGATCACACTGCAACCAAATTTCCATTATCCACCACTAACCGAGGACACCCGCAACGAAGGTAATCTACAGGAGTGAATAAATCCCAAACTTTTCTTTTGGGATCTTGAAGACACTGGTGTCCTGACAGCTGACTTACGGATAGATCTGGCATAGGAATTCGTACCACTGAGACAAATAATGAACCCACAGTAGGAAGGTCTGACTCTGAAAGAAGAAGAAAGACACTCCACTCATCAAGGCTCTCTGGCCTTCACCAACTGCTCCCTGTCCCCCCACTCTCCAGAGGGGCAGATGGCATCACTTCTTTTACTACTACAAACCACCATCCTCAGCAGAGCACCCTCTCTCACCCATCCTATTATGTAACATACACTTCCCAAGGCAGAAAAAAGGAATTGTTTAGAAATACTAATAATTTCTAGAAGCTGAAAGGAAAATATGCAGAAGACAGGCACAATTCACATGATGAAGTATCAAGAAATTACTATATTATTGTAATTGTTCTTAACCTCCCAGCTATAAACACCCAGAGGTTCCCAATATCCCCTCAGGTTATAACCCTGGCCTCTGTGGGATCTGGCTTCTACGGACTCACCAGGGGACTTTTGGAGGTCTCTTTGTCCTTCTTGTCTTTCTTTTCCTTTTTCTTTTTCTTGTCTTTCTTCTTAATAGCTCCAGAAGTTGACAGCTTCCCTCGCTCTTGGATCACCAAGTTTCGATAGTGCTCATCACAGGGATGGTCCCACATGGACTGCCCGTTGGCAAAGTTGAAATAGTAAATATCACCTGTGATGTCCTGGCTAGGGATGAGCAGAGGTCAGAAGTTAGTCTCTGCTCAGGTCCAAAGCTACTTAGGAAAAAAAGAAAAGGAAGAAAAATGGCAAAGAGGCAGAGGAGGAAGAGGAATTAAGGGAAAAGGGAAGAGGGATAGAGAAGATGGGAGGAAAGGAGAAGAGAGGAAAAGATTAACACAAAACTGAAGGGTACTGTTTGGCTAAGAATAAAGGAGCTAACGTCGATAGGAACAAAGGATTGGGATATCTCGGAGTTCCAAAGGATTGGGATATCATTGGAGTTCCTGGGAATTCACGCTAGACTAGTGCAGGAATAAACTTCGGTTTAGATGGTATCTAAGTACAAATACTATGGTATCTTGGCAATAAATTCTAAGCTAGACCTTGCTTAATATTTTTATAAATGGTCTGAGGAGAAAAATACATTGTGCAAGCTCTGGCTTTATAAAACATTCCAAAATCATAAGAGGTGACAATTCAAGCTGGTGGGGATCAACAACAGAAGAAAATAATGTAGAAGGTGGGTTTCAAGAATCTGTGTTTCACCACGGACAAGTCCAAAATAAACCATTCATCCGATCCACTATTACTAATCCATTAAGACAGCTAATAGAAAAAAAATGCACAATAGCAATATAAAATATATAATATCCAGGAATAAATCCAAAATGCAAATTTTTTATAAAGCTTTACCAAAAAGCTAAGAAAAAGAAAAAACATTAGAGATTCCATGTTCCCGAACAGAAAGACTCAAGTCTGTAAATTTCCTCAATAGCCAATAATCCTCAAATTAAATATAAATCCAATACGATCCCAATAAAATCTAGGGCTCCTTATGAAACCTGGCAAACTCAATCTCAATTCAAACAAAACAGAAAATACATAGAAGTAATAAAATATATATATCAAGGGTAAAAAGTGAAAAAGAAGACATAGAAATGCCCAATAAGCACATGAAAAGATGCTCCACAGCACTAAAATTTAGGGAAATAAAAAATTAAAACCACAATGAACTATCCCTTCACATCTATTAGCATGGCTATTATCAAAAAGGAAGCAGAAAATAACAAGTGTTGGCAAAGATGTAGAAAAATTGGAACCCTTGTGTACTGTTGGTGGGAATGTAAAATGGTATAGGCACTGTGAAAAAAAGAGTATGGCAGTTCCTTAAAAAATTAAAAATAGAATTACCACGACACATCGATTCAACTTCTGAGTATATACCCAAAAGAACTGAAAGCAGGATTCAAACAGATATTTGTATATAGGCCCTGGGAACTTGGGTTTTAATGCCAATGTTCATGACAGCATTATTCATAATAGTCAAAGGTGGAAACAACCCAAATATCCACTGACAATAAATGCATAAACAAAATGTAGTATATACAAGCACTAGAATATTGTTCAGTCTTAAAATGGAATTCAATTCTGACACATGCTACAACATGGATGAAACTCGCAGTCATTATGCTAAGTAAAATAAGTCAATCACAAAAGGACAAATTTCGTATGAGTCCACTTATATGAAGTACCTAGAATAGACAAATTAATAGAGACAGAAAGTAGATCAGAGGTTACTAGGAGCTGGGGAGGGGGGAGAATGAGGGAGTTATTGTTTAATGAGTACATAGTGTCAGCTTAGGAAAATAAAGTTCTGGAGATAGGTGATGATGGTTACACAACACTGTGAATATACTTTGCGCCATTGAACTGTATATCTAAAAATGGTTAAAACAGTAAAGTTATGTATGTTTTACCAGAAAAAAAATTTACAAAAATATTTTGTAACTTATGCACTAACTAGAACCTCTAGTATAATTGAACAGAAGTGATGACGATGGACGTTTTTGCCTTCTTCTTCAGTGCATAAGAAAGCATAAAGAAAATTAAAAGAAACTGGGAGCAAACAGTAGCATAAGATTAATACAAAGAAAAATCAAAGAGTTCTACCTCCTTAACAAAAATGAAAAGATAAGCAACACAATAGACGAAAAGGCGAAGGATATAAACAAGCAAATCACAAAAGATAAACTAACAGCCAACAACAGATGGCCAACTCAACTCTGAACGATTTGGGAAATACAAATTAAAATAACCAGGTATAATTTCTTACCCTTGGACTGACAATTTTGGGGGGTTGATTTTTTTTTTCTGATCGACAATTTCTTAATTCATAATATTTTTAAATGAACAATATGTGCTATTGGTAGGACTGTTAAACTTTAACGGAAAATACTTTGGTATTAATTAACAATATTTAAATTCTGCATATATTTTAACACATTAATTCAAATTCTAGAAATTTTTTCTAAAGAAACATACAAAACTTCGGAGAACATGCTTTACTGAAGAAAACATCTGACCTCTTTTTACCCCATGCAAACACAGATAAATACCGTATTAATATATAACAACAATTACAATAACAAAATAATAAGACAAAAAAATGTTTTCATCATAGCCAGACAGAGAAATTCTCACTTGAAACATAAAGAAATCATGAAACCTGAGTAGTAAATGTATGAACTGAAAGGTCAAGGCTGATATCTGACCTGGATACAGGCCCTGGGAACTTCAGTTTTAATTCTAATTTACAGACACTAAATATGGCCTTAGGCCTCCACGAATTTGGAAACTGGAAATGAGACCCTCGCATATATCTGGGGCCCTTAAGAATGCTCCCTCCATGAATGAAAGAACCTAAAGGGCCATGGAAACAACAGGGAAGCACATCATCCACTCCAGGTTCTAGACAGCAAAATAAAATTTAAAAAAAATTAAAACCCCAAGACATGTAGATATAGAGGCTAAAATGTGATAAGGAAATCCCAAGTCAGGAAACTAATATAAAAATTTAGTCCTCAACCACTGAAAAACCATTGGCAGAAGCCATTATAAAGCCACTTGACAACCTAAAAATGAGAAGATGAATTCGTAAAATTCTCAATAAATAATTACAAACCACATGAAGAAACATTTCACCATGAGGGAAAATCAGTGACACAATGAAGGGAAGAATTAGCGCACAAAAAAACTTGGCAGAGTAAATCAAAAGACTAAAAATAACTACATTTGCCATTATTATAGAAAAGGAGCAGAAAAAAATGAATAAGTAAATAAAAGGAGTAGAATCCATAATGAAAGAGCATAATTCAAAAAACCAAGAAATACTGGGAAAAAAACTACAATAGAACTTGCAAGAATTGGTAGTCATTAAATTTTCAAAAACAGATGGGTTAAACAGCAAATTTGACACAGAAAAAGAAATAGTGAACTGGAAAACACACCAAAGGACATTATCCAGAATGCAACATGCAAGATAAAGTGAGTTTAAAACATGAAACAGAAATTAAGAAACGGAAGAGGAGGAGGAGGGGGAGGAGGAGAGGGAGGAGGAGGAGGGGAAAGAGGAGGAGGAGGTCCAGTATATTCCTAGTAAGAGTTCCAGAAAAGAAAAGTGATAATAGTTGGGAATTTTCCAAAATTGAAGAGACATGAGTCCTCAAAGAAAGAAGGCACTCCAAATTCTGAACATGATAATTAAAAATAAACCATACTTTGATACACTGTAGTGAAATCACAGAATATCAAATTTAAAAACAAAATAATAAAAACTACCACGAGGGAAAACCTGATTGCCTACAAAGGAACAACAAATGAGACCAAGAAAACATGTCTTATTTGCAAAACCAGAAGTCAGAAGATAGTGGGTACATAATATTTTCAAAGGGCTGTTCATAATCAACAAACAATTCTATACTCGACTAAACTATCATTCGAGAGTGAGACAAGACAAAAATGACTGACGATACAGAAAAATGTAAACACAGTTAGCATGTTTGATATAAAGGACATTTATAGAACCCTATATCCAAAAATGAGACGTGACATTCTTACCGAGCACATATAGAACACTTACATAGATAAAATCACTTGCTGAGCCACAAAAGAAGTCTCAATTTGTAACAAAGAATAAATATAATGAATAAATAAAATTGGAAATCAGTAATAAAAAATACCCAAACTTTATCTACCTCGTCCCCTTCAAAATATTATTTTAGGGTAAAAATACTTAACAAAATTTTAGAAAATCAAACTAAATAATATATAATTATGACCTAACAGACTTTATTCCAGGAATATAAGGTCAGTTTAATATCTGAAAATCAATCAATATAATTGTTAACAGATCAAAATAGAAAAATCATAGGATTCTATCAATAGATGCAAGAAAAAACATTTTAGAGAATCCAATATCCATTTCTCATTTAAACTCTCAGCCAGCTAGGAATAGAAGGGAATTTCCTCATCCTGACAAAGGGCATTTACAGAAACATATAGCTGACATCATATTTAATGGTGAACGGCTGAATGCTTTCCCCTAAAGAACAAGGCAAAAATTGTCCATTGTCACTACTTCTATACAATTATACTAGAGGTTCTAGTCAGTGCAATGAGCCAAGAAGTAGAGATAAAAAGTATCCAGATTAGAAAGGAAGAAATAAAAATGTCTTTATTTCCAGACGATGTGATCATCTATGTACGAAATCCTAGAGAATCTACAAAAAAAGCTATTAGAACTGGCATAAGTGAGTTTAGCATGGCTATAAGATTAATGTACAAAAATCAATTTTATTTCTGTATAAAAGCAACAAATTGGAAATTAAAAATTTTAAATATACCATTTGCAGAAAAATCAAAAATATGAAATAATAAGCAATCTGACAAAATATGGGCAAGATGTATACTAAAAACTACAAAACATTTCTTAGAGACATTAAAGAAAACCTAAATAAGAGAGAGACCCTGTTCTTTTGTTGGAAGACTCAATATTGTTTTAGATGTCGATTCTCCCCAAATTGATTTATAGATTCAATGCAATCCCAAAATCCTAACAAAGTTTTTGTAGAAAATGGCAAGCTGATTCTAAAATTCATATGGAAATACAAAGGACCTATTATACAACTTTGAAAATGGAGAACAAAGTTGGAGGATTTAACTCCAAATGATTTCAAGATTTATGGCAAGGCTATAGTAATCCAAACGGTATGACATTGGTATAAAGGCAAAGAGATAAATGGAAGAGAAGAGAGCAAAGAATCCAGAAATAGACCCACATGTAATGGTCAATTTAGGAAAAAAATTTAATTATCCTTCAATATAAGTGGTTAAATAAATCAGGATTTTTTAAAATCATGGTATATCTATGTATGGAAAAGTAAGCAACTGATAAAGAATGAGGTAGACCTTCACACTGACATAGAAGAGCAATATATACAGTATAGCACCAATGTTTAAAAAACAAAACATGAAATATATGGTGATAAAAAGATATGACTTTGGGTGGTGAACACACAATGCAATATACAAATGATGTATTACATAATTATACACTTGAAATCTATAGAGTTTTATTAACCAATGTCACCCCAATAAACTTTAAAAAAAAAAAGAAAAAAATAATGTGTGTGCGATGTGGATATACATGTATGTGGGGTATGTGTGTGTCTGTGTTTTAAAGATCTGGAAGGAATTCATCAATTAATTAATCTTAGGACTGGGAGTAATTAGGTAAAAGCTGACATGTATACATAAGTTTTATTGACTTTTGCTATTTTAAAAAGTGAGAAATACTTTACACTCTCCTTACAGGATGAGGGAGTATTAGCCACCACTAGCAGGTATCTGAATCCAGCTGGCACGAAGCCTGGCACACTGCTGGACCATAACCAATGACAGTTTCCTTCTTTCCATCTACTTTTTTTTAATATCACTGCAGCCATTTATTTATTGAGTACATGTACATTAGGGTGTTATTATGTTGACTGTATTTCTCATGTGGCTTTTAATTTAAAAAGTATCCAAAAGCAAAACAACACAGATATATACAAAGTTAAAAAACAGAGAAAAAGAAGATAGAGGTTAGATAAGGCAAATATGGATATCAGGGTGGGTATTGGAAACAAAACAGAAACCATTTTCCTACCAACACAACCAAGAGTCCTCAGCACCTGGAATACTGTATGCAGTGCTAACAGATTTTCTACAAGAAAGATGTCATGAAACTGGAGAAGGTTCAAGGATAGGCAGCTAAAAAGATCAAGAGAATAGGGAGCCTCCCATGTGAGGAGAAGATAAAAGGCTTACAATTCTTCAGCAGAGATGAATAAGGCTACAACTGTAGTCATTTTGAAATACGGCCAACACATTAAATGGATGGATAAAAACAGGGTAATTACACCTTGCACACAAAATTGCACAATACCAGCACAAGAACGGACCCCTCAGACATCTGGGGACCATGCTATAGAAGGAAGTAAATTAATGGCACTTTAGGGAAACAGCTTGGAGAAAGAGCTCCGTGCATGTGATGAAAAGAACAGAGCAGACATGCAGAACAGAGAAAACAGCGTCACCAAGAGTGGGAGAGGAGGCATCGTCAGGAGGAAGGAGACACAGCAGTGCTGTGACTCCTTTTAGCTTCCCCACCTCGGTCAGTCTGTTTCCTCACCATTAGCCTTTGTTTCCCTGAGATAACCTGAGTCTCTGTCCCTCACAATCCAAAGAGCTCAGATGGAAACTGAAAATATGAACAAATCCACCAATACGAACCAACTCATGAAGAGATTACTCAAATTCGGGGATTGGTTACCAAGAGAGAAGAAACCCTTGTCCATATGTGTAGCCTCACCATAAAGCTCTTTAACACCAGCATCCATTTTGGACATGCTAGGAAGGTCTCAATATTGTCACTCTCAATATCAGTGTGCAAGGAATAACAACACCTCCTGAGTATGTCTAAAACAGATACTAGTGCTAGAGGACCTGACCCAGGGCAGAAGCTCGTAGGGACCCTGGGTATAAGTGCTAAACCCCTCATAGAGACCACAAAGCGTCAAGCAGCCCAGCAGAGGAATGGCCCATTGCTGTCCCAAACTCTGTGCAGGACAGGCTTCTAAAGGTGACTGGTTAAAGTTGATCCCCAGCGTCAGGCTCCCTCTGCCTCTGACAGGCAAAGTCAGTGGGCCGCACCCCTGCTAACTCACCATGGCTTCCACTCCACAGGCAGCGGGGCTACAATGCCCTCCCGCGCCAGCCACATCAGTTCCGGTTCCTTGATGGGATCGATTCCAATCTCTCTGGCAAATTCAAGAATTTCTGCAAGGAGAGGCAGGAGGGTAGAAAAGTAAGAGAGCTGGAGAAGTGGATGAAAAGGAAAAACCTCACAATCAACCTGTGAAATAATAAGAAATACATCTGTTGGTCTCTGCCACCAGTTCCTATTAATATTTGGTCTTTGATCCCAGTTCCTAAAAGAGCTTCTAAGACCTTGTAGTTTCCTGAGTAGCAAGAACATCTTCGTTCCAGTGAGGTGATTCGATGGGCTCATGGGTGGCTCCTGGATGGGACTGGTCTCCAGAAAGACCAAGCAAGCCATGATTAGAAGCTTGGAACTTTCAAGCTCGCCCCCCATTCTCTGGAGAGGGGACAGGGGCTAAAAAATGAATTAATCGATCATGTCTACATGATGAGCTGCCACAAAATCCCTAAACTATGGAGTTCAGAGAGATTCCAGGAAGGTGAACACATCCACAGTGCAGCTAGGAGAGTACTGCACTCTAACTCCATGGGGACAAAAGCTCCTGCACTTGGGATCCTCTCAGACTCCATCCTATATATCTCTTCATCTGGCTGTTGGCCTGTATCTTTTATCATACTTTTTGTTATATAATAAACTGGTAAACATTACTGTTTCTCTGAGTTCTGTGACTTGTTCTAGCAAATTATTAAACCTGAGGATGGGGTCATGGGAACTCTGGTGTACATCTGGTTAGTTAGAAGTACCTGGGACAACCTGAGACTTGCAACTGGCATCTGCAGTGAGGGCACTCTTGTGGGACTGAGCCTTTAACTTGTGGGATCTGATGCTTACTCCAGGTAGATAATGTCAGAATTGAACTGAATTGTAGGACATCCAGTTTGTGTCAGAAAATCTGTCAGTGTTGGGGGAAAAAAAACCACACATCTCATGTCAGAAGCACTGAGTGTAAAACTGAAGGAAAAACAGGATATTTTTTTACCAAACAACTGTTCTACGCTGCCTTTACTTTCCAAATTTTCTTCAGTGAGCAGGTATTACTTTTATATTATACACTTTTCTTAAATTAGCTATAAATGGTACTCCTAAATCAAGGCATGCTATTGCCATACACCAAGAATATAATCTGAAGCCAAGTATCACAAAGGCAAAAAAGTAAGACCAAGACTTCAGTACCTCAGGAAAAATCCCAATAGCCACAGCCAGAACCATCCTAAATGAGGGCAGCCTTACCAGGACATAAGATTTACCAAGATTTACAAAAATCTTAGTACAAGAGTGCTCATCACTCAGACAACAAGCATGTTCTGAACACTGCAGAAAACTAAGCCCCTTGAGATCTTACCAACACACAATTAGAGTACAAACCAGGTGACATATGCTGTAAGGGAGATATGCACTGTGTGCTATGGGAGCAGAGAGAATGTGGAGATTTATTCTGTCAGGGCCACAGGATGCCTGAGCTGAGAAAGTGGGATGATACTCAGGCAGCCTTCTTATCCACTTACTGAACCCTCTCTTCCATGAGAGTTGTTCCATTTTCAATTTTGCTATAGATCATGGACTCTAATACTTTTGTTGTACTCTTTTGAAACCAAGCATTTAGAAAGGCTCTTTTGCCAGAGAGATCTGGAGGAATAAGGGAGATATATGTACTGAGTTAAGAGTTATCTCACCTAGAAGAAAAAAGATAGATGAGATCATTGGAATATGTCACCAGAGCTCCTAGGATTAATGAAATAAATTCCCAAGAGGTATCAATACTGGTGATAATTGCCCAGGCCAGAGAGACATCACCAATATGGGTCACCTCAGTGGAGAGTTTGGAGGTTGACATGCCTGAGGACTAGGGGGAAAAAGCACATTTTCAAAGGACTACTGAAATTTGGCTAGCCAGGGATTAATTTATTCATTGATTTCACAAATATTTTTTAAGTGCCTCTATGTACCAGTCACCAAGTGCCATGAAAGAGAGAAAAATGGTCTCTGTCCTTATGAAGCTTATGTTCAAGTAGAAGAAACAGCTCGTAAAGAAATAAACAGATAACTATACAAACTGTTAAAGCTTCTGATAAACACAATGAAGTAAATGAGGTATAAGAGAAAATGTCAAGGTGGAGGGGGCACTTCTTTAGAAAGAGTCAAGGCTATCTACAGCCATGCTACCCTGAACATCCCCGATCCCGTTTGATCTTGGAAGCTAAGCAGGGTCAGGCCTGGTTAGTACTTGGATGGGAGACCACCTAGGAAGACCAGGTGCTTTAGGCATTAAAAAAAAAAATCAGAAAGAGTCAAGGAAAGCTCAGAATGGTGACAATTGAAACCTGTAAGAAGAAAGAAGCCAGCCATGCACAGCACTGAGCAAAGAGCACTCAGGCATAAGAAGAGCAGGTGCAAAGGGCCTGTGGCAAGAAGCAGCTTGGTCCATCTGTCAGAAAGGCACGTGACTGGTACAGTGAGCAACAGAGAGAGTGGCACCAGGTGAGCCTGGCCAGGTAGCCAGGCTGGATCGTACAGAGCCCTACAAACGCCACTAATAGTGTTATGCTGAGTATAACGGAAGATTTTAAAATCTGGTTCTGATATGACCTGTAAGAAGAACAGTCTTATGCTAAGTGGAGCAGACTAGGAGGGCAAGAGTATAAGCAGAAAATTGTGGCTTGAGCTCAAGATGTCTAAACTCAGACTGAGCAGAAGAGAGTTTTTATAAAGATCCTTAGAAAAATATTAGAACCCATCTACAACAGTAAACAAAAAAGATAAAATATTTAAGAAATAAACTGAGCAAGAAATGTGCAAAACTTATATGAAGAAAACTTTAAGTCACTCCTGATAAACAAAAAAAGACACAAATGAAAAGGAATACAGTGTTCTTGGATATAACAGGAAGACTTAACATCATAAAGATGTTACTCCTCTCTAGGTTCATTCATAGATTTAGCACAACTTTTTCTAAGATACTAACAATTCCCACATACAGAGCCCTCCCCTGGACAAGGTGATTCTGAAGTTTATGGGGAGATAAACGAGATTACCAAGAAAACTTTGAAGAAAAAAATCAATGAGGGTATTTCTAGTATCTACTAGATACTAGAATTTATTATCAAGTCTCAGTAGTTAAAGGTACAATACTGGTATATAACTAGACAGTCCGATGGAAAAGAAGAGAAAGTAGACCCAAATACGCACAGGCAGCACCCAAGCAGTGAGGGAAAGCTGAGCTACTCCATAAATGGTTGAGAACAGACCTAGAGGAAAACATTGAAAGAAGTATTTGTTCTTGGAGTAGGGAAGCCTTTTCTAACTATGATATAAAATTCAGGCTTTTCTAACTATGATAAATTTAACGTGAAAATTTTAAACAAAAATCCCATGCTATAAGCAAAGTCCAGGGTTTAATGTGGGATCAACAGATTCCTGGGGATGCAAGAGTTCTTACCCCTAACAGGCCTACAAAACATCAGAATTATAAGTAAAATTTGTGTGTCCAAATCCATGATTCATGAGAATTTCAAAGGAATCTTCACCCCTAAAATAGCATAGTGTTTCAAAGTGCAGGCCCTGAAATAAGACTACTTAGGTTTAGATTCTAGCTGTACCACTTAGTAGAACCCTGTGACTGCAGGGAAGTTACTAAATCTTTCTGTGTCTCCATTTCCTCATCTATAAAGTAGGGTTTAATTATAGTACCTAACTCATGAGTTGCTGTGAGGGTTGAAAAGGAAATAGATGTAGAGTCCTTACTAAAGACAATGGCACATAGTAGCACTGAATAAATCTTGTTATTATTGTTATTAATAATGTTATTGTTGTTTAAAAAACTGCTTCAGTTTGTTCTTAAGAAATTTGGTTTCCCCTGGTCTTAGCACACAAAGTATTTAATTACTGATTGAACCCAAAGTCAGTACATTTTCTCTGGGAAGGGCCATACAGTAAATATTTTAGGCTTTGTAGGTCATATGGTTTCTGTCACAACTACTCAACACTGCCCCTGCAGCCTGAAAGCAGCCATAGACAATACATGAACAAATAAATGTGGTTATTTTCTAATAAAACTTCATTTACAAAAACACGCAACAGGCCAGGTTAGGCCCATGGGCTATAGTTTGCCAACCCTGCTCTAACCCAAATATACTGAGGAGCCTTGTGCATGTACTACACTTTGCTTCAGATGAACAAAGATAAATCAAAGATAATTCCTGCCCTCGAAGAACTACTACAATACACCCCAGGCCTCTTACCTTGCTCACTGGGGATGTAAGTCTCATCATAATCTTCCTCCAGAACCAGCTGGTCTCCTATGCGGATGGGTCTTCCAGCCATGATTGGTCTGGGCTCGAAGGCCTACATCCCAGAGACCCCCAACCAAAGAGAAAATCAGTAACCCAGCTTAGAAGAGGAAAAGTTTTAGTTGGGTCATGGAGCATCTGGGTCAGACCAGATTCTTCGAGCTAACTTAGCCAGGGATTTTCCAGATTCCAGAGAAAGTGGAGGGTGGGACCAACAGCTCAGAACTCAGGCCTTACAGGCTCTGTGCCCTAGAAAGTTCCCTCAGACACATGTCCCAAAGGCTTGCTGAACACTCAGCAGACCACAAAAGATCTGAAAACCCGACTCTCTCAAGAGTTTGACTTCCTATCTCCCTTGAATGGGAGAAAGAATTAACAGTATAGAACCCCTAGCTAGAAAACCCTAGTGACCAAAATTACTAGCAGTACACGCCTCTGCCCATAAACCAACATACCCCAGTGTGCTCACACTGTCTCATCACATATCCCTATTTGCATGTTCCTATTCACATTTGACAATGCCCTCAGGAAGCTTACACTCTAGTGGAGGGAGCATACAAGACTTCAACAGTAGTACAAGGCAGAAGGGGAAACACATCCTGCACTGAGAGTACTAAGAGAAAAATAACATATTCCCACTGAAGCGATGAAGAAAGGCTTGGTCAAGGAGCTGATACCAAGGGCTGACCAGAGTTCTGATAGTGGAGATAGCTACTCTAGGGAGAGGGAAGGTCATGTGCAGATAAGGTGTTCTGGAGTGCAGGATACTAGCATGAATGGTAGGGGCTGGGGTAGAAAGCCAGGTCAGGGTCTGGTCATGGAGAGCCTTGCAGACCATGCTAACGAGCCTCGACACTGCCCTGTAGCAAAGGCAGGCAGGGAGAGAGTCACTGAGGACTTTGGTGAAAGAAAGTGCCACAGAGTGGCCTTTTTTTAGGATAAAAACTGGCAGGAGTGGAATGGCTAGATTGGAGAAATGAGAGACTGGTGTCAGGAAAACCACTAAGGAGACTGCCATCCAGATGAAAGATGATGAGAGCTTAAACTAGGGCAGAAGCAGTGGGAATGGAAAAGAAGCGACAGATAGGAGGGATGCTATGATGTTAGGTTTAATAGGACTAGGAGGTGGGGAAAAGAGTGGAAAGGAGTCCAACTTGAATCCAAGGTTTCTAGCTCCAGGGACTTGGTGGTGCCAAATTCTTCAAGTGACAAGCTGGTGCAGTTCTAGAATTGCTCCTCCCTTCCTATCCCTACTCCAGCAACTACCTCAGGACCCCCAGGTCACACCAACTCTCCCTGCTATGGCAGCTCCCACCCTGAAGCCTGATGACACAGAGACAAGTCATCCTGTTAAGGAGCTGCTGTAGACAGCTCTGCTCAGAGTTCGTCCCCCAATTAAGGAGGCATCAGCCACATTGGTGCAACCAAGAGGAGTCGGGAGAAGCAGGTCCTGACCTCTCCTGTACCACCTCTTCAGAAGCTGTCACTGTTCCATCTGGAGCAGCAAGCATGACACAGCCCTCTGAAAACAGGGGACGTGAACAGAAAGAACTTGTCATCAAAAGGAGGTCGGGATGTGTCCTGCAACGAGTGCTCAGGAAATGGCCAGATCTGTTGACTTTGAATCTGTTCCAAGATCCCTAGAGAGAGACCATGATAAATGGCAAAGGATCTATGAGGGACCGTTACCATGGCCCTCTCCGCACCCTGACAGCTAAGAGATGGGCAAGGTGTCTTGCTTTAGGATTCACAAGAGATGGTTCCCTTTGTCAGTCCACTGGACCCAAACGAGCCAGGCTCTGCTACCTATCATTCCTGCCATGACACCTGCAAGCAGTAACTTGAAGCAGTGCCTCACTAAGAATGATTAAGGGAAGAAGCAGCCATAAAACCAAATGGGAATCTGCTCCCTAACCTAAGAATCCATAACCCGATGCAGACACAATGCTTAAGCTTCTTTACACACAGCCACCGACTCCAAAAAAGCAGAACAGAAAAGTACCAGGAACCAGTGCAATAGGTGTGGCCCACTGCCTGGTAGTTTAAGGAATCACCGGCATCTTTAATCTTCTGAGTTAGAGATGAGGGGGAAAGAGAAAAAGAAGGGGTCTTGGGGAGGGAGAAATTAATATTAGTCTGAACATCAGGCTGGATATTATTCAGTCAAACAGGCAATGATCTATTCAAGATATGGTATCAACTATTTCAGAGAATTTGAAAAATTCTCCATTTGAGAAATGTGACCTATCCCAACACACATCCCATCTCCAGAAAGCATAGGGCAGGTAAAATCTCCGTCCTCATGGCAAAGTGCCTAATTAGCTATATACATAATTACCTATGTTTAACTATTTAAACATCAGGAAGAACCTGGAAAATCTGCATTTATGGATCACACAAATGTCAAACAAACCTTCTGCCAGAAAAAAATTTAAAAATGGGCTAGCTATATTCTACCTTCTTTCTTCTTTTTGCCTGGCTTCAGAAAAGATGTGGGCAAGGACAGGGCCAAATGGGCAGGAATTATAGAAATGAGGACAGTGGGGTAAGAGAAACCATATTTGTTTAATGAGTACTAGAGCTCATTTATTCATTCGAAAAATATTGAGCTAGGTTTATTTATAGCTGGACACTAGCGATGAAATAGTGATTAAAAACAGATTCAGCTGCTATTCCCTTAGAGCTACAGTCTAGTGAAGGACAGTGACAAAGCAAACAGTCACAGATAAATGTATAAGTATAAATGAGGTAAGAGCTCTACAGGAAATAAGCCTGATTTAGATGAAGCCTATGCTGAGAACTGAAGGACAAGTAAGTATTCACTAGACAAAGAGAGGAGGAAAAGGTGTTCTAACAGAAACAGCAGCACATGCAAAGGCCCTTCAAAAAGAAATAACACCAAACAAGAAGAAGCATGGTTGGAGATGATGCTGGGGAGGTCAGTGGAAGCCAGGCCATGCCAAGAATTTGGCCTTTATGAAAGCTGAAAGCCAGGAAATGGTTTTTTTACATACACATTTTAGAAAGATCATTCTGGCAGCCACTGGGAATACATACTGGAATGGAAGCCAGATTGAAAGGAAGAAAATCAGAGTGGCTAGAGAGATTAGGTAGGAAACCATGAGCTAGTCTAGGTGAGAGAAAATGATGACCTGGGCTAGAGTGGTAACAGAGAAGATATCTAAGAAAGCAGCCCTGGGATCTGCTATAGCAAATATATGGCACATGTCCTAACATTTCCCTCCAAGCCTGAGACTATGGGGGACATCATTAGTCAATCATAGCACTCTAGACATGGCTTTAGAACCATCAATATTGTACTCCAAGTAGCACTTATCAGAAGATCAGATGAAACCTGGTAAGATCTACTTGCCACCAGGCCTGAGACCCTCTATGAGCCATAACTATTATAGGGGAGGGATCATCCAATTGCACTCATCCATCTCCTGCTAATCCCAGAATCTAGCAAGAGAAAAAGGTAGCTCATATACCTCCTCCAGGAAGCCCTCCATGGCTAACCTCAGCCTCTCCCATCAACTTATAACCTCCTCAGCAGTGAGAACATAGTTTTCATGTGTTCATAGGCATATTACTCTTTTTTTTTTTTTAACGCCTACAGCACCCGGTCTTCCTAGGTGGTCTCCCATCCAAGTACTAACGAGGCCTGACCTTGCTTAGCTTCCGAGATCAGGCTTGTTCAGGGTAGCATGGCCATAGATGCATATTGCTCTTAATATTACTTTTTTCTATGGAAATGTGTTCCACCTCTCCTGTTAAATCACAAACTTGCATGGGCCATGCCCCCTCCTTCCTCTGCATTTTCTGACCAAGCTCAAAATAAGATAAGTAAACTGGAGGGACTCTGTCTCTGCTATAAACCACTAACACAGAACCAAAGTATCTCAAGAGCCAGAAAAACCCGTAAGAGCTTTCATCTAACTGCCCCCCACCCCATGCCAAATTTTTCCTCTCTCTGCTTTAAGTGATAGACAGCATAGTGGTTGAAGCATCAGCTTTGGGGCCAGAAACACCTGGATTCAAATCCCAGCTCTCACTCTTACCAGCTGTATTGGGCAAATTAAGCAACATCCTCTACCTCTATACCTCATGCATATAACAGAAACAATCATGACAATCTACATCAAAAGGTTATTTGAGGATGAAATGAGATACTTCTTGTAAAGTACCTAGCATAGTCCCTGGTACACCATAAACAAATTTAGCAGTATTATTGATGTTATTTGCCAATTCCATGGTTAAATAATTCTTCACTATGAAAAGGTCTTTCCCATATTAAGCCAAAAATCAGTTTCTCAGAAACTTCTTCTATTGCCTGTTCTGCCCTCTGTACCTACAGACAGCAAGTTTTCTCTACTCCAAGCTAAGCATTTCCTTCCATTCAATACATGCCACTGTTTCCCAATCCTTCGATGTTGTGGCTACCTTCCTATGAATGCTGTCTGATTTGTCAGCATAGCCAAAAAACTTTGTACACCTGAACACTAACAGAGCAAGCATATACATGCATATGCATGATTACAGTTCCCTATGTATTTATTTCTTCCTCCCTCCTTGAACAATTATAAAGTTCACCACAGTGGGGGAACAAAAGATTTACTGGAAAAGGCTTTAGGGAGACGGTGGAAGACATTAGAGTTGATTGTGTAGTAGTAATGAGCACAGTTTTTAGAACATTCTTAGCTTTAATGCCAGCTCTACCAATTACCAGCTGGGCAAGTTGCCTCAGTTTCCTCATCTGTAAAATGGGGATAACAATATCTATTTCAAAAGGTTGTGAAGTACTATAATTCAATACATGTAAAATACTTAAAACGTAGTAAGATCTCAATAAATGTCAGTTGTTGTTGTTATTACTATTCACATTTTTAAAGGGCTTGTTCTACATTGTTCCAGAAGACAAATTCAGTACCAGGGAATATAAGTTAAGGCCATTCAGACATTCAATAACCAGTTATTAAACATCTGCCACGGGTCAGGCACTGGGCTGTTAGGGCTACAGACTTGATTACACGTGGGCTTGAACTCCAGTTCGGC